ATATATATATATATATATATATATATATATATATATATATATATATAAAAAGATACTATATTTAACCTCATTCAGATTTTGTTGAATTCAGCATCTATATAGGTTTGTAGAACACATTTTCAAATACTTAGCATGAAATGATGCCATTAAAAAGTACATTAAATTACAAAATGGCACTCACAAAGTAGACAGCCCCAAAGCTGCCATGCCCGATTTCGTGCAGGTCACAGAAGACATCCTCCGGGTCATCTTTGAAGAAGAGGTTGGCCAGCTCAGGGTCCTTCGGCACCCCTTTCCGTGTGGATGACGGCATTTTGGGCTGGACATGAGCTAGGCGCCAGGCACCACACTCACATGCACACTACCACTGCTGCTACCGCCACCAGATGTCCACGACGGCCCCGGCATTGGCCAGCTAGACCTGGGGAAACAATCAGGTCAAAATTTAAAACTTATTTTTATTTTTTCTCACTGTCATTTATTTCATTTGTCAGGAATGTGGTTACAGTAATATACACACAGAAATTGTGTCCAGTTGTGTCTCAGTCTCACCATAAAAGATCCTTGTGAACATCTATACCAAAACTTTATTTGTTCAACACTTTGCTTGTTTTAATTTTTCTGAGCCATTGACAGTTGTTAGGTGATGATACTGGGCAGTAAGAGTCACACATGACGATGATGTTTATCATCCATATCTTGGTCATACATATGTACATGCACACAAAAATATGCACAAATGCGTGACAGCTGAAGTCGAGTCATGAAATGCATAACTTCCACGCATGCCCACAGTGGAACAGTTGTGCATGCATTCACATACGCTACAACAGAATGTTACAGCCAAGCCGTCAAGCGTATACGCATCATGGACACGCTGCTCCAGTTAGCTTCACTGCACATGCAACACACACATGCTCACAGTCACACGCCATCCTTCTGATTCAAGTGTCTCTCTTCCTTTTTCTGTCTACCATGAAATCTCTACGCACATCAGCCAGATGCAGCAAGTAAATCTGGCTCCAAAGGCTGGCCCCACACAGAGGAAGCCTACAAGACACACAGACCAAGACACTAAGCATCAGCATCACAGTAATCCTCTACTCTTAAAGGGCACTAAGCAGTCACATCAACTACACAAATATCAGTCTTAAAGGCAAATATGTTTGCCGTCTGTTCAACGGTGCAAGATGCACATTTCTAACAGTTATTATTGTTCATTTCATTTTAATAAAGCTTTGTAGTGATGATGGTTTTGTGCATAAAGACATGTTTTAATGAAAATGTATGTATTATCAAACGTTATCATCTGTCTGATCCAGTTGACATTTGTTTAAAAAAACGGCAGCTTTTCAAGTGTTGTTAATTATTTATAACTCTCAAAAGCTGAACAATCTATGCACACAACTGTTTTGAGATTCCCTAAAGTGTGAGTTTTTACAATCAGTCAATTAGTCCTTCTTGTGCAGTTATCTACTCAGGCCTAAACTTAAATTATTTAAAGACCAACTTTAAAAATATATATATAGTAGGAATACAAAACCTTTGAGCCAAATATCGATTGACATTAAATTTACTAACCAACTCTTTTGGATTATTTTAGCCATTTATTTTTAATTACGTGATTTTACCGTTGTGTTTAGCAGGCAGCGTGCCCTCCTTGGGTAACCGTAGGGGAAACAGGCATTTTTTCAGATAACAGAACAGAACTGAGCTCCCCGTGGAAAGGATGGGGGTGTGACAATTGATAAATAAATGATGTACTGTAAATCAGTGTAGTTTGAGCAGAGCAGGAGCCTTTTGATTCCAACACTGTTTACAGTTTCTAGCACCTTGATGAACGTAGAGTTTCTGTGTGAATCAGGCTTTTATAAAATCTTATAAAATATTTTCTAAAATTGACTTGTTTTAGTACTGAGGGTTGTAAATTGTCCAACAGAGCTATGTTGTTTTCTGTGTTTAAAATTGATTAAACACAGAAACACTAAAAAAAAAAAAGCATTTTCCTACAATTTGGACAAAGCAGCATCTCAATAAAAACACAATCCTATATTTGTGTGCGATACTTTTTTCTTCTCGTCTCTGTTAAACTGTGTTTATTTTACTTTTAATTGGTTTTATAATGTGTATGCATGCGTGTGTCTTCGTACTGACCAACCATATGAAACAGTGTGTTCCTGTGTGTTTCTCTGTATTTGTCTGTGTCCTCTGATTGCATCAGCCCATCTTTCATCTCCCTTTCTTGAGATCTCGGCTAGCAAACCGACAGCCTCTTTCTCAACTTTACCTATCAGATAGGACACACACCACAAACAGAAACACTGCAAGCCTTACTAGAAAACAAAACGTGAGTGTAAAGATTATAAATTACACAACACAACAAAAACAACTGGAAAAAAACAAAGTTAAAGTAAAAGAAATAAGAGGAAAGAAAAGGTCTGACAAAGATCTAAAAGCCTGAATCTCCTTCCTCTCATGTGATAACTACAAGCAGCACACCTACTGCTCACGTTCTTTTCCACTCCTCCACATCTAATTTTCTGGTAATTTGTGTGAAGTGATGCAACTTGGCAACAACAGGCTGTAACACGAGAGGTTTGGCAAAAACGTTATTGGTCTAGAAAAGTACAGTGTTTTGATAATTTGCTGTGCGAGTATAATGTAGATCTATGAAAGGCATTGTTCTTAGAGAGCTGATTAGGCAAACGGTTTAGACAGATTAAACGCTTTGTGTTTGTGTGAGCACATAACAGTCCAGATAGTACAGACATACTTTAGTGGATATGAGCAGGAACAGCGTATCGTTTGCATGGTCGGACGGTGAACGAAATATATAAAGAGAATACGTACAGAGGAAATTATACGGTTTCTGCTGCTACAGTCAGGTTATGTCCACTTGTGTTTAAAACAACACTGTCCATCTTTGCTTTTCTATGGCTGGTGATAAAAACAAAGGAATTTAAAACAACTCATTCTCTCCACATTTGAACAGTTATGATCAAGGAAGCTTCGCAAACGCATAAAAGCAACTGACTAATAAATTTCACATCAATCAACAATAACACAATTTTTTATGTGAGTAAATCAGATAAATTGAACTACCATAAATAGTGGTTGTTAACCAACTTACACAGAATAGCATCCATGTGTTAAATGTGGGTCAAAGTTCAACGTGCTCACAAAAGATAGCAGAAACTCACCCTTCCACCCTCAGGCCCTCATGTGCTACTCTTTAAATGATGTGCCATGTTTTCACAAAACTAACTCCATTGCTTAAACCGGACATTTTGTCGTGTGTTGACCACTTATAAACAAATAAACAAACAAAAAAAGTGTTTTTTTTTAATTAGTCTACTGTATGCACTCAAAAAAGTTTATCATCTATCCAACATCTATTTTTTTTTTTTTCAGCCTGAATCACACATACTGTGAATTACGGTTGAGCTTTTTGTACAAAGTTAAAGCCAAAACTTTATCCAGAACATTCATTTCAGTTCAACAAGTGCCTTATATGGAAGTTCATAAACCTTTAAACATTTGTACAATTAATAAGACATAAACAGCCATTAAACAGGAAATGGGAAATATCTGATAACAGAGTGCATTAAAATTTTTTAGATATCCGTTTGCATAAAAACTCACTCTGAACCCCACTTTTTCCTTTAAGCTGCTTGATTTCATCAGTTTTTAGTTCCTTCTGCAATTGTTTTAACGTATCACTTTTCTAAAAGAAGTGATAAGAAAATGTTTTCAGATCTTCGTTCATTCACTTCGTGCTTCCAAGTTGTGTCTGCAAATGTATATGTGTCTATACAGTATTAATGAACATGAAAGTGTGTATTAATGTTTTAACATTTAAATATACAGCGCAGGAAAAAAAAAATTGCACAAATACATCAGACGGAGAGCACACCAGTGTCCATGAGCGGTTCAGTTTGTGTGCGTCAGATTGAGTGTGTATGTATAACCAGGGGGTTTATCAGCTTAAACCTACCCCCTCCCAGCTTTACACACAAGCAGGAATTAGACAGACTGTGAGAATTCTTACTGGGATTCAGATCAGCAGCCCAAATCAGAAAAAAGGACCCATGTTGCTAAAGTGTACGCGGAAAATGTGAGTAAAAGAGAAAGAACAATAATTACATAATAATCGGGTTTCCTGAAGTCATATGATGACATTACAAAGAGCAGGCGTTGAGGCTGTGTGTTTTGTGTGAATGTATTTGTAGGACTGAGCAAGATCACACACACACTCGTGATAAATATATAAAACAGCTGCTTTTTAATTCAGGCTAATAAATATACATTACAAGAGCCTGCAGATACTGCCTTTCATCTCACACAATATCAGAGAGCAAAATATGCACGTGTGTATAACATGTGCTGATGTATGATTGTGTATCCCGCATGAACATAAATGGGTCAACCTTGTTACTCTATGAATAATATAAAAGCTTAGTCAAAGCATAATGCCAGTCTGCCAATGAACAGGAAATCCAAACACAGCAGTCATGAGACTTTTGTTATTAATGGGGATTCCGAGTTTCTATGACTCGTTTCGATTCAGCACACATCCTATGTACATGTGTGCACACTCACGCTGCCTCACTGGCACATTTGCTTGATTCAAATGTCAGCGCTCCACACAGAGCGACACTGAATTCAGCTGAACTGCTCAGGATGAACGACTGTATGAGAGTACGAGATGCCAAACCAAACAGGACTTTTTTAATGAAGAAATGAAAAGATGTAAAACTCAACATAAATTAAACATATGTAGACATCTTTATTAGTTAAAGAAAAATGCATACAAATACCATATAATTATTAAAGTTTAAATCCTGTTTAGAATTTATGGATATGGGAAAAACAAGGCACAGAACAAAATCCAATTTAGAACCTGTTGCGTCTGTGTCATTTCTGCAAGAGTGAAGTGTCACAGATCCAGTAAACTTTAACAATAGACTCAGAGGTATGACTTACCTGTAAGAAATGTTTAAAAACAGGTTGTTGGACAAGCCTCAAATTCCCTCTCTTCTCCTCTCAGTGCAAGTCAAATGAAGTGTTGCTGGTTTCCCTCATGACTGGAACACTGTAGCTGAAGAGTAAAGTAGAAACAAACAAATAGTTAGTGCATTAAGTTTAAATGAGTGATACAAATGTGTAGCTTTAGTAATAAATAAATAAATAATTATATATATATATATATATAAGATCTGATCTTTATTTGTAAAAAATAAAAACAACAGCCATCTATCTGTGGCTCATTAGAATGAAATTATATGCATTTATTTAATAATTGTATCCGTTTGTTCCCCTTCCTGACACTTATGTTGATCTAAGAGAATTTGGAGCCAACTGAAACTTCAGCAAACACTACACGTAACAAATAAATTATTTGAAAATTAGCTTTTTTTTTTTCCCTCAAACGTTTAAAAATGCACCTAGACAGCATTTTTATGATGTTTCTCAGAACAATGGGCTGTTGCTTGGCTAATAAAACTAGCGACGAAAGCGAGGAAAAGGTGGTTCTCTCTGTAAAAACAGAGGAACCGTTTTAACGACTCCAAAATAGCAGATGGTGGAATGACTCAACATGCTATTAAAAATCTCTTAGTATTTGTCAGCCATTATCCTCTCAGCAACTCAAGAATCCATTGCATAGATTCCTTGGTTCATTTGCTTCATGACAGTCAGTTAACATTTACAAAATTATAAGAAAAAGGTTTCCAGAAAAAATGTGATCAGAGTTTATTGGCATTTTCTGATAGAAAATGATTACTTGATGTTTTAGTGGTGGTGTTAAATTGTACAAGGTGCTTTTCTACACCTGCTTTGTCAACTTCCGTATTCTGGATCATAATGACCACAGATCACACTTCTAAATGTCTTGGCATTTCCTACAGAGGAAATGACCTCTCTGCAGCTGAACCCATCGTTTTTGTTCCTAATGTTCAAGGACAAATCACAACTATCTGGTCAAACACAACCTTTAGCATGCACACTCACGAGCAAGCGCAAACAGTCTTTTGACCTCATCCAGACACGCATACACGCAGTATATTTAAAGGCACATCAAATCTGAGAGACTTGTTCTGACAGAAGAGCGCTGTCAGCTACTGCGCTGTTTTGTGTTGACAAGCAGGTGGTGAAGCATCCTCTGTACAGACAGTGAACACAACCTGACCTTTCAGCAACACATACCAGCCTAATAAAACAAATATACAGTCTGCAAAACAAATATGAATCTAAAAGTAATGCTAAATAATTAACGAGCACATTAATAATGACCAAGTGACTTTGTTTTCTTGAACTGTGAATTAGTCACCTTATATCAATTGTTATGGTTCTTTTTGTGCTCTTAGTTAACCCTCCAACCACTCCTTCCTCTTTCCAATAGGACTAAATGACAGATTGGGTGCTCAGAGGCACCATACTCAATAATAAAGCAGGGAGAAAGGATGGAGAGATGAGAGAACAAGGGTAAAAACAAACAGAAAAAAACACATTGTGCCCCTTCTGAGAGTCTCTGAATGATTTATAACACAAACTGACGCTTGCATGAGCCTCCGGGAAAGTTGAGGCTAGACTTCTCCTCCTCTTTGCTTAGTTCCCCCCGCTTGGCATTTATGACCAGTAGGTGATGGAAAGATGTGGACGGACAGACTGAACACTGAGGAAAAAGTGTAAGAGCTAGTTTGAGTTTGTGTGACTGGTAATCATGTTTGGAACAGGATACATTTTGAACAATCATGTTCAAAACATTATAAGAAAAAACGCAAAAAGCAAACAAATATCAACCTAATTGCAACATCACTACCACATACGCAATGCGTGCACTTTTAAATGTTGAAGATAAAGAATATACAGAAGGTCTGGGGTCTGACGAGAAAAAGCAAGGTAAAATTTATTAGGCACTGAAAAACAAGAGAAATGAGCGGTACGCCGATATCCCCCTGTCGCTGCGGGGTTTGAATAGTGAATGTTTGTAGTTTTTAAGACGAGTATTTATTTGGACTGGAATTGAACAGGGAATGCAAGTAAACCTTAAAGTTTTTGGTGCAAGATGTTCAAGTGTGTAGGAGATACACTGCGTGTAAAAACAGAACTGAACAAAACATACTTGCCAACATTTGCTGATGGCAATGAGGGACACCTATGTTAAATCTATATACTTATATAAAACCTATATATAATATTAGTGAGTGGTGCAAAATGGTCCTAGGGTCTGGGGGCATTTTAGACAGGTCTTACTTCCACTCATCAAAAAAGGTAGATCATCTGGTCAAATGTAAGAATCATCTTAAACTTTGACTCACAAAACCTCTTAGTTGTTCAAAAACCTTCTATAACCTCTCAGTTTCAATTTACTTTGTTTTAAGTCACACATTTTGATTTAAATCAAATTCTGAGTCACAAACAGCTTATTTCTCGGTCTCAAATTGACAGTTCAGTATTGCATTTGTATTCTTGGGAGAAAAAAAAAAAAAAAACTTGTAATTAAACAGCTGTCAGGTCAACTGATAAAACAATTTGTCAAGCTGAATGGAATACTTTATAATATGGACTTTGGTCAAGTTTGAACCTATTTCACTTTCAGTTTTTCCATGTACTGGTATCCAACGGTTAAACAATAAAAGTCTTAATTACTGACATCACCCTGAGCAGAAAAACTTAGAAAAATGTATGTCCTTTAGTAAATCACACATCACATTGGGAGTTCTAGGTGCTTGTGTGTGTATTTTAATCAATGCAGGCCCAGTATTAAGCATAAAAACTCCCAATGATTCCCAGGATGGTCACAATAACTAAGGTGGGCTAGGTGTGCTTACAAGCACCGATAAGTCTCATGGTAAAATAATGCTTTAAATAAACCTGAGATAGGATTTTTACAATATGCTAATTCTTCATGGGTGTAAGAAAAAAAACAGAAAAAAATTATCCTGTGAGATAGAAAGAAGCTCAACATTATGTTCTGCTTATCCTGCCAGGGCGGCATGTTGTGGATCTTTATAGCAGTGACTAATTTTGACAGTGTGAGGATGCACACATACACACTTTATGTTGAACAGCAGGATTTGAAGACTGCAAGGCAGATCTCATCCTATGGGTTTAGTGACACCAACAGGAAAATGTCACTTGGTCTCTTATGCATACAAACACACACAAATAAGACTGTTAACTTGGCAGATTAAGGCTAATTCCATCATAAATGTGGGCATCGGTATAGGCTGAGGGACCAATAAAGATGGTAGCTGAACTATTTTTTTAACTGAAAGTTTGGCTGATCAGCTGTTGAAATGTTCAAACCCTACTCCAGCTACTGCAGAGGCACAAATAGAAGCGCCGTCTTTGGTCAGCAGTTTTTTTCTGTTCTTTCCTGGAAGCTTTTTGTTTAGTCAATAGCTAAACAGAAATGAAATAGATGACTGCTACTTTCTTTTGCTTAACATTTTTGTAAATATAGGGTTTTGAATCCAAGCAACAATGTTAATTCATATATTTTGCGTTAATATTTTAATAAAATAAAATAAAAAATCTAAATACTTAACTTTGGCTAAAGATTCTCTCAAAACCTATCTTTTTTACTTTATATAGTTGACTTTCCTCTCATTTACTAATAATTTCAGCACACAATCAAAATTGCCCATGGCAGGATCAAAATAAAACAAGAGATCAAACAGTTCCTTGTTTATCCACATTCTAGGACACGGTGGGCATGAGCAAAACAGACCGCAACAACATTGATTCTGAAAACAACAAAGTTCATGCTCAATCATCCAGGTACCAAATCCAGTAATTCTCAGTCAGGTCATCTGGACAGTTATTTTTTTTTATAGAGACGTTTCACCCTCTATCCAGAGGGCTTCATCAGTCTGAGGAGTTCCACTAAACTGTTTCCCCACCAAGCAGTAAACTCCTTAAGTGGACCAACCAGTTTGCTGGAGCTAAGATGGTTTCTGGGGTCTGTCCTGCCCTCGTCAACTCCTCTCAGGCAGGCAGCCACAGCCAAAGTGGTTCAAGGCAACAAAGTTCATGCTCAATCATCCAGGTACCAAATCCAATAATTCTCAGTCAGGTCATCTGGACAGTTTCTTGAAACACTTTGGCTCTGGCTGCCTGCCTGCGAGGAGTCGGCGGGGGCAGGACAGACCCCAGAAACCATCTTAGCTCCAGCAAACTGGTTGGTCCACTTAAGGAGTTTACTGCTTGGTGGGGAAACGGTTTAGTGGAACTCCTCAGACTGATGAAGCCCTCTGGATAGAGGGTGAAATGTTTCTATAAAAAAAAAAAAAAGAAACTGTCCAGATGACCTGACTGAGAATTATTGGATTGATTCTGAAAATTTCTGTCTTTCCTGTCCTCAGGAAACCAACAAAAGAACATTTTTTATTGCCTCATTAGAAAGTGTTTTTTTTTTGTTGTTTTTTACAAATGGCAGTCTTTCTCAACAAATCTGATTGTTGACAGAAGAAACAGCAGAAACTTTCATTTTTCAATAAATAAATAAATAAAATAAATAGGGTGCAGCATGGATGGTGCCTAAATTAGCAAAGAAATTTTGGATCAGATTGCAAATGCTGGTTCTAATCTCAAAGTTTCATGATCTTTTTGCTAGCTCTCTCAGTCTTGCCTTTTAGATGCAAAGTTCTTATGAAATGCATACATTGGCTCTTGATGCATGTCAAACCTCTTTCACTCCACTTCTTTTCTGGGTCGTCTTATAAAAAATGAAATGATGATTTTAATGGAGCCTAAGGATGGTTTACTGTTGTGTTTTTTTTTTTTCAAAAAACAACACAGAATGATTTTATCAAATGTCATAGTGGATATTTATATCCCACATATTTAGAATAGTATCCCTAATTAACTGCACCCCCCTACATATATTAAAAGTGAAACATTGAAAGTATCTATAGTTGTTAAAATGCTGCCTATCTGAAAGAAGAATATTCAAATAATCATTGGTTACTTCTGTCATCAACATAAATATAGAACATTTTCAGCAGATTAAGCTGTGCTTAAAAAGTTT